AAAAATTTGTAATAACGTTTCTGTGTTCATTATTCTTTCTGGATGTTTTCTCCAAAACAAGAATGGAAATGATCTTTAAGCATGATATTGTGGATTTACAAGCGGTCTGTTAATGATCCCTGGTCCTGGGTCACATTTTGAGGTCAGAATTAAACTGATTTAAGTTCTGCAGGTGATTTTAAGTGGCCTATATTACAGTTGCACAAGCTCCTCAAGACGTCACATCTGATCACTTGTCCACTCCATTAGTTTATTCCAAAGCAACTGTCCACCTTAATCTGGTTTTATGTTTGGATTGAAGGTTTTGAGAAGCAGATTACAGTGTAAGAAAAGAGTATAATAGGAGAATACTGAATTTGAATACCACCATATCCATGGATAATGTTTATATTACATAACTATTCGTCTCGTACATTTTTAATGTTTATGTCGGTTCTAACTGGAAAATATTTAATTCTATTAATTGTTTTGTGAATTCATCTCAGTAGCTTATAATTCATTCAGAAACCTACTGAGACTCTTCAAAGTTGATATCTCAGAATTCATTTAGGACGTCAGAAGTGCTTGTTTGTGTCTCGCACTTAATCACTGGCCGTTGGTATCTCATTTGCAAAGGGGTGTTAAGTGCTTGTGTGTCTATTTAAATCAGGTGTTCTTTGAAGCTCTGGCAACAGTTTCTCTAGGCCTGAGGAATCTGACAGCTCCGAGGCAGGACTCAATGAAAGAAATGCCACTCTTTCAATTTTAAAGATGTCCAGTGAAAACATCATAGATAATGGCAAATAATAAACACCTAAATGTGACAAAAAGTGATCTCACCTTCTGTGCCGTGCGGAAGTAGATGCTCTTATCGGCACCGCAACTGATCATCCTGACTTTCCCATCGTTAGCTGGAACGAAAACAAAGACGTCACACATGAACATTTCCAGCATTTGTTGTTAAATAAAACTGGGCAAGGCTGTCAAGATCTCACTAGCGAATCGGACAGCAGTGATAGAGGAAGAGTGTTCATCCAGTGTTTGCAGGAGGCCGTATTCCCGATCCGCATCCAGAACATGGATCAGTCTGTCTCTGCTGGCGGTGGCCAACAGTTTCAGCCCTAAACACACACATATTTAATACGTTAACACCAAAATATTAAGCAGCACAACCATTTTTAACATAATAATATGTATGATTTGTTATGATAGGACAATATTTGGCCGAGATACAATTATTTGAAAATCTGGAATCTGAGGGTGCTAAAAAATCTAAATATTGAGAAAATCGCCTTTAAAGTTGTTCAAATACAAAAAAACAAAAAACAAAGAACAAATACAAAAAAACAAATACAAAGTTCTTAGCAATGCATATTACAAATTAAAATGAAGTTTTGATATATTTACAGTAGGAAATTTACAAAATATCTTCATGGAACATGATCTTTACTTAATATCCTAATGATTTTTGGCATAAAAAAAAAATCGATAATTTTGACCCATACAAATTGCTACAAATATACCCGTGCGACTTAAGGCTATGTTCACACTTGCCGTCTTTTTTGACAAGAAAAAGTTGATAAGGGCGTTTTTTTAGTGAAAAAAAAAAAAAGCTGGCAGCGTTTTTCTGTTACAAATAGCAGCCGAGGGCGAAGCGGAGTCCAGCCCGGGGTCGTCACATGTGGTTGCCGCAAACCCGCCGGACGCTCACTCTAGCCCATTATACGGGAGAGGAACCAGTATGGTGCTTACAACAATTTAGTCCAGGAGCTCCGGTTGGATGATGCACGGTTTGCGGCATATTTTAGACAAAACATTAAAACATTATTATTATACTAAATATTTTGTGCTTATATCATATAACTACTTGTGCTCCGAAACTAGTACGATCAGTTTATCTACCGGCACCTTCTCCATTTTTTCTTGTTCTTGTTGTTATGGAAACGACAGGTCTCGCTACTCGCTTGTCATTGGGTCAGCAGTCAAAAAGGCGCTTGACGAGTGTTTTTTTCAGAAAAGTTAAACTTTTTTCAACTTGAAAAGATGCGCTGAGCTGCAGAAAAAGCAGCGGCTTCCGCGTATAACAGATACCGGAAGTGAGAGAAAAGTGTTTATTACGTTTGAAATATGGATATTTTTCTTACAAAAACACATGGATTCACTACAGGAGGCCTTTATTCACCCCCCGGAGCCGTGTGAGGCACGTTTTGTTATGGATGCGCGCACTTTATTTGACGACTTGTGGACTGTTCAACTGCAACACCTGTTGACTGCAAAGACAGAGCTTGGAATAGCCAGGACAATTTTTAATATAACTCAGACTGGATTCGTCTGTAAGGAGAAAGTCATATACACCTAGGATGCCTCGAGGGTGAGTAAAACTAATTTTCATTTTTGGGTGAACTAACCCTTTAATGTCTGGCCTTGAGCCTGATATAAACCACCAGCTAAGGCAACGCATGCTAAGCACAACTTCACACTGAACTGCACTTAACTGGGGAAGATAATGACTCTCAATACGCCTGCTCTAAACCCCCAGCCCTGCACAGAGCCTCAAGAGCTTTAGAAAACTGGAGAGAATTACACTAGTTAGTGGTGGTTGGAGGCATTTTCACCATAATAGGGAAGAATGAGGATGAAAAATTCCCATGGATTTACACTAAAAAAGGGACCAAAGTATTATTGCTATTTTTAACTAAAACAAAAACTATAAAAAAAATAGTTTTCTTTATTGAAATATATCTAAAAATAAAATTAAAAGTAAAAATTTCAATTTTTTAATTTTTAAAATGAAAAATAGTTTTCCTTATTGAAGTAAATAAAAAAAATTAAATATGAAAATTAAAAAAGGAAAAATAATAAAATTAAACAAAACATTTAATAAAAACAATAAAACAATAAATAAATAAATAAAAACTTCAATTAAACAAGAATAAGAAATGTTGCCTTGGCAACTACCTGAAATAAAATAAGGTGAAGTTAAAATACTAAAATGACTACAGCTAAAACTGAAATAAACACATAGAAATATTTTTTAAACAAATAAAATGATAAAAGCCTATAACAAAATCACTAAAACTTAAACTAAAATTAAAATAAAAGCTGAAAATTTAAAAATGAAAGCTAATTCACTAAATTAATAAATAAATATTATAATATAAATAATACTAAAATAACACTGGACCCAAGCTATATCTAATTAAGTAACTTCCTAGCAACTACCCAGAACTATGATTTTTTTGGGGGGGATATTATCACAATGATAATAATTTATTCTATTTATTTAAATTTATTCTATCTATTTATATTTATATTTATTCTGTTTATGACTGTACCATGGTACTGCTACATTTTTTTGTAAGCGCTGACCGCTTCCAAGGGATATTATCTTGCCGTTTTGGATCAACTATTGTTTACTCAACTATTACTGGTATGTCAGTTTCCTCTAACCATGTCATGTCAGCATCTGCACTCTTGAATGGATGCCTGAGGCTCTTATATTTCCTCTGAAAAATAATATTCTGCATTATTTACAACTAAAGCTCAATCAGCAGCATCTGTGGCGTGCTGTCGATTACCACAAAAATGGTGCCATTGATAGTTGCATATTTTAAATGTTTACACACAGTGCTGCTCACTTGCATACTAATGCATGATTTTTGTTGTTTTTAAAACCTGAAGCACAAGAATAATTTTCTTTAATTGACCGCATGTCACAGATGTTATTGATAGTGTAAAGCTGATTTCTGTGCTACTAGCATCACAAAATGTTATGATTTTTTTTCAAACAGGTTTCCTGAACATTTCCCTGTCTGCCATTGGTTGAAAAACAGGTCATCCCGCCCAAAACTAAGCCAATGTTTCTGTGTTGGGCTGGTTTTGAAAGCAGCACACAAGTCATATTATTTACACTTTTTTTAAGAAAGATCAACTCAACAAATGACTGACTGTTGTCTCTGTACATTAAGCTGGGACAATGAACATTGAAACATCTTAAGACTAGGGTATCTTAACATTGAAAAAAATGACTTCAAGTTAAAATTGAACCAGGTTCGAGCTGTGAAGTTTACACTAGAAAAACTAGCTGTAAACACTGCTGGTGGCATATGTGTCAAGTGGCGACTCCAAGGTTACAGAGCATCTGAGCTGGATCAGCACTTCCTTTTTAATGGGGCATTAAGCGGCACCTCGGTACAGGATTAATCAGCTACAGATCTATAAAAAAAACACTCAGCACTCACCAGTCTCTGGTTTTGAGTACTCTAGACACAGGATCTCAGAGTCGTGGGCCTGAACGTCTAGAATTTCCTCCATGCTCTCCAAATCATGGATTCTGGAAACAGCAGAAGTTCAGTGAGGGTCTGATTGTGAAGTTTCTAAACTAAAAATGTTAGCATTTTCTGAAGAACAACATAGTATAATGCATTGAGAATGCTTTTGTAATACATACAGTCTTCACAGAAAGTGTAACATACAGTATTTTTCCCACATGCATGTGATACCCAGTACACAAAAACATCGTCCTTTCGATTAAAACCCTCAGAGGATCAATTAACTCAAATCAATTAGAGTAGAAGTGTTAAGCAGACATGTGAAAAACAGACCTCAGTGTTCCATTGCGGTCCCCTGATGCCAGGTGCAGCCCGTCTGGGCTCACGCACATGGTCCTAATGCCTGTCCGGTTATCTGAGGTCTGTGGGTCGGCCTTCTCAGAGTTACTGGAGATGGTGCAGTCCGTGTCCAGCAGGGGGGAGGTGTTGCTGTCCATATAAATGACCTTCTGGAGGTCCTTTGGTGACGAAAAAAAAAAAGATCATTTGTGACTTGTTCATTACATTTATACAGATACATATACTTAAATCACTTAAAATGCATGAATATTGTTATGTTTGATAAAATATCAAAGCAAGCGGCATCTGCAAATCTACCAAATCATAACCAAGTAAACATTTCTGTGCAATTTTTGCAATTATTTTTAACCAACTTCTACTGAGGTTTGGCAATGCTAAAGTGTCCAAATATGCCATTTTAATTTTGAACAGTATTGCTACAGTTTTATCATTAACTATCTCACAAACTTAAAAAGTTAGATTATTTTCTTTAAAAATTAATGCCATTTGATATATGTGAAATGTTTGGCGTGTGAATGAAATGTCTAAATGCCTTTTAAGGTCAGAGTTGCTGATAGTACAGTAGCTGACGTTTTTTAATGAAAATATGCAGTTTATGAAAGAAGTATGTATCAGTTCACAGTAATAGCCCTAGTATGATACTTAGCATCATTACTCCAGTCTTCAGTGTCACATGAGGCTTCAGAAATCATTCTAATATGCTGATTTGCTGCTCAAGAAACATTTCTTATTATTATCAATGTTGAAAACCATTGTGCTGCTTAATATTTTTGTTAAAACCGTGATGCATTTCTCCTATTTTTTTATTTACAAAAGAACAGCATTAACTTAAAACAGAAATGTTTCGTAACATTATGTAAAAACCTTTACTCTCACTTCTGATCAATTTATTGCATAGTGTATTTATTTGCAATTAAAAAAAAATCTCAAAGAAAAGACTGGATTCATTTCAAGTCTCGAGTTTCCAGAACTCACATTGCTGATGACGTTTCGGCTGAGGGTGGTGTTCTGAGCGTCTGTGTTCCATAAACGGAGAGTATTGTCAGAAGAACAGCTGAGGAACGATCCGGGAGAAAAACGTGGCTGCTCTCCATCCCTCGTCTCTGGGTACACCTGCAGGACAAAGGCATTACATCCCACAAACTCACACATGAAAACAAATACAGGTGTATTTACTCTAATGTAGCATTTAAATTCTATTAGGTCATTATCAACCAAAAATCAAAGGAGCGGTCTTATGCACTGGGCGTTAATCACGCATCCTCTTTATACATACAGACAATATCCATCTAAGTGATACACAGGGACTATACAGTACATTCTGACATTGGATAGGATAGCTTTTTCATTATTTAACAACTATTTCAAAAGTAATAAGATATTTTCTGGCATATTTTGAATATAGTCACGACCGAAGCTGTCTGACTGTGCAACAAACCATTCAGCTGACACTATGTTCACAATAATTCAGTTTATCATTTTAGTTAGTTTTAATATTTTTGTTTTAATTTTGATTTAGCAGTTTTAGCTAATTTAGTTTTTTTTTACTTCAAGTTAAACAAAAATGAGATAATGTTCAAATGTAAAAATTTTTGTGGTTTTAGTTTTAGTTCATTATAATAACCCTGACCTGTAATTATGGACATATTTCAGGAACTTTGATGAGGTCACAAAATACCAGACAACTAAAGTCACAACAAACCAAAAGGGAAGTCACAGTCATGAATCATGTGATCTGATATGAGCACACAGCCCACGACACAACCTAAAAAAAAAGTATATGCTGCATGTTGACAAATCCCACAGGTTTTTTAAACACAGTGAACAAAAACACAGTAAAACACTATTCAACCGGTACAAAAACAGCAAACTAATCACATTCATGACAGGATAACAGATATAAAACAAGGTATAACAGTTACAAGCAAGACTGAAACCTACAGCGGGTGGGTTTTTATTAATACAAATAACCTCATATGAGTTCACATCAGGCCTTACAAAAATAATACAAAAACATGAGGCTCAAATACAAAAGACCTGCCTCACATTATTTCAGCAGGCAAAATGTCAACACACGACACAATGAAAGGACAAAAACATGTTACCACACACATGTCTCAGAAGTCAGAATACACTTGACTGAATTTTCTCATAATTCTAAAAACATTTCTTGTACTTGAAATGCATTAAATTCATTTTGTAGGTAAAAGTAAACTATGTATGAACTATTTTTACAAAACTGAAATTGATTTTAGGTTTTGTATTATATTTTATATATTCAGATTTGTAATTTAATTTAATTTAATTAATTAAAAAAAAAATTTCATGTTTTATTTGATTTTGTTTTGTTATTTTATGTTATTGTATTTTTTGCTATTTTATTCGATTTTATTTAATTTCTTTATTTTATACATCCACCTGATCAGCACCGCCTTAATGCTTGCATGAAATGTTTGTCTTATTTGGCATGTCGCCTTGGCAAATAGCTGAAATAAAATAAGAATTTTTTTATTTTACTTTATTTCAGTTAGTTTAAAATGTATGTCCTTTTTCTCACCTCCACACTCCATACGCAGGCCGAATGGTAGAGAGCTGAGTAAACCTTGCCCACTTTACGAAGATCACGTACATCCCACACGTACAGACTGTGATCGTTGTAGACACAGGACAGCCAGCGGTTCGTGGGGTCATAGGACACGGCCACTGTGTCAGGATAGCGGACGTTTTCCTTGTAGGCGAAGAGATGGCTGTGAAGAGATCATAATAGAGGGACAGTAAAGACAGCTGTACTGAGAGGTCACTAAAGGTCTTCTGGAAGTGTCACGAGAAAATGTTTCCAAGCAGAACCCACACTTGTCCGCTGGCATGCATGGGGCAGTTTTTTGATGGTACATTTGTCTTTCTATGAAATGGCTTACCTTTACATTTCATGAATTGGAAAGTTACGAGCTACTAGCTACATGAATGCGTGTATATATATATATATATATATATATATAGTTACTTTTTGTAAATGTACAGTAGGCTCAAAAATACACAGACACATCTCAGTGTCTTAAAAACAGTCTTCCTGAACAGTATAATATATAATAGAGGTCAACAGCTCTGTCTTAGCCTTGCAGCAGTGTCTTTGCATATTTATGAGCTGTGGACTAAGAGGTCTCATGTGTTTGACAGTTTGGAGGGAAAGCAGGGAATGCTAAACAGATGTCAATGGCTAAGCCGTTTCATTGAGACTACATGAATCCACTCTGAATCTTAAAGCAGACGGAGATTTCAGGATGGTTTCTGGGTATTTGCATATGTATAATGCTAGACACCAGAAAGCAGCTCATCCAGTAGGAAACTGGAGCTTTATATATATATATAGTTACTTTTTGTAAATGTACAGTAGGCTCAAAAATACACAGACACATCTCAGTGTCTTAAAAACAGTCTTCCTGAACAGTATAATATATAATAGAGGTCAACAGCTCTGTCTTAGCCTTGCAGCAGTGTCTTTGCATATTTATGAGCTGTGGACTAAGAGGTCTCATGTGTTTGACAGTTTGGAGGGAAAGCTAAACAGATGTCAATGGCTAAGCCGTTTCATCGAGACTACATGAATCCACTCTGAATCTTAAAGCAGACGGAGATTTCAGGATGGTTTCTGGGTATTTGCATATGTATAATGCTAGACACCAGAAAGCAGCTCATCCAGTAGGAAAATCTCTGGAGATTTCCAAGTGAAAACATTTATCCTGCTGTTCTGACTTTTGACAAAGGGATTTTACACTGTTATATTTTACACTGATTCTGAGCAATCACGTTAAGTATCGTGGGTGGTACCATAGTTCAGCGAAGGTAATGCATGCTACTTTAAGTACAGTGCAATAATATTGATAAAACTGAACTAAGTAGTCGTTTTTTGTACCAAGACTCACTAATGTGGCTGATCTTACCTGGCCTCAGTAACAGTGGCGATGTCTGTGCCCAGGCTGTGAGGGTGAGGCAGCGTATAGATAAAGTGCAGGTCAGTGGGGCTGAACGCTCTCACCGTACCATCAGCACAACCACAGAAGATCAGATCCTCGCTGACGGACAGAGACGTGGCCATACTGGTCTGAGAGAGAGAAAAGTAGAGGAATTGAGTTGAATGACCAATCCTAAGACTAAAGTTCTGGAGTGACATCTAAGTTATTACTGAGCCCACACAAATTATATTATCAATGTTATAATCATAATTCAATTATAATATTAATATTATAATTATCAACATATATTTATTTATTTAACTTTTTTTGCATAGAATGTGGGGGTAAAAAAATGTAAATTCTACAAAAAGCATTTATATATATATATATATATATATATATATATATATACAATCCATTTTTTGTGTTGTTTAAATTATATTATATATATATATATAAATTTTATTATAATTTTATTTAAACAACACCATTTAAATTCTGTTTAAATTCACATATAACATCTGCAGAGCTTTAAGCATCTACCCAAAAGCATATTTACCATGTAGGCCAAGTCATTTTGTTGGGTGAATCGAAAAATGAGACAAAATGAGAGCTCTGTGCATTCAATCGAGATGTCTTATTAAATTCCACTGATAATTGCATGGGAAATGCACAATGCACAAACCGCAAATAAAAGCTGATGAGATATCAAACATAAAAATAACATGAAACAGGTGGCAATAAAGATACAAAGTGTGGAGAAAAAAAAGAAAATTTATTAGTGCCTGAGCAGGTTAAAAGTGAGAAGATAAGAGCTCATTTGTGTGTTTTTCCATGAGCCGTGTGATGTTCCTAATGAGAAAAATCTAATATTAAAATATAAGAGCCTCCTTCACTGAAATATCCAATTTAATTTACTGAGATAAGGACACGGAGGACTATTTGCTAAATAAGCTTTACTCAAGAGACCAAAGTTCATCTGTAGATTATCAAAATGTACAATAATCCTGGGGTTCTTTTAGTTGATAAACTGTTAGACAGAGAGGCTTTTGTATCCTTTACCATTCCTCTCTGTATCCCTTTCTTTCTGGCACTCTTCTGAATCTTTCTTGTTTTCTCAGTGCAGTGGGCTCAAGGGTCCCACAAAAGCAGAATTGTGCAGCACCCACCTGCTCTAACCACCCACTTTGACAGTTTGTAAGGAGTCAAATCCAGATCTCATATCGGCTCTAAATCATGTGTTCAACACGGCTGCCTAGTTCTCATGGGTTTCTAAAGTCTTCCGAAATACAAATTTCTTCTTCTCTTTTGTGAGATACAACAGACCTTTCTTTAAATAGATATTACTACTTTATCTGATGTTTTTTCTGTCTTAAGGCAGAGTAACAGATGCAGTAAATAAAAAATAATACACTGAATTAAATGATGAAATATATATCTCAAGTGATTTGTTAAAACTAAAAATGTACTGTGAAAACAAATATTATGCAATACCCTTTCAAAATACAATTGAATAATTAATACTCATAATTAATGCAAATATTAAGTACATAATTAAAACAATTAAAACAATGCAATGCAATATAAAATATAAAAAACATATTACAATGAATATAATAACAATAATAATTTTTATTTAAAAAAATGCAAAAGAGGTGGTGTATGCAATAAAATATTTAATACTAATAATTAAAATAATTAAATACATAATTAAAACAATTAGAACAATGTAATGTAAAAATACAAAAATATATTAAAATGAATATAATAATAATACATTCTTAATATAACACAAAAGGGGCGGTGTATGCTGTGAATACAGCAAATGATGGGTATTAAAAGATAAACAAGTTTTGTGGGTGGTGATTCTGTGTGGGCCTCATCATACATAATGTGAAATGCTTTGTCTGAGATTAGAGTGATAACTGGCAAGTGAAGGTAATGAGGTCAAACATCTAATGTACAGGTGAGCATGACTGACAGCAGCACTGTGACGTGCTGTTTAATGAGTTTTACAATGAGACGTGACAGCTGAATCCGTAGCCCTGATGTGAAACTTACTGCGAAACTGTCATTTTTCTGGACAGTGTGAGAGGAGAAGCAGAACAGACTAATATTAGACAACAGCAGCAGCAGCAGCATTAGTAATTAACACACTCCACTCTCGCTTAACACAGCCGAGAGCTTAGAAACACCCTCCGTTCACAGGGGCTTTGATATCAGAAAAGGGAAAAATAGCTTAACATGGATAAAGCACTAAACACACAGACAAGGAAGCCTAAACAAAATTCAACTACAAATCAGGGGCTTAAAAATGTGACAACTGAACTTTTAAAGCTCAATTCCAAGTATAAAAATAGCTTTAATTTCATGCACATTCTTTTCACAAACATGTTATTTAAAAGAATAGAGCTCAACAGTGACCTCTCATTATTTTACCAATTCATTTTCCATAGAGATTTTAGAAAATTGTTCAATAGAGTTCTGAACTAAACCAGCCTGCAAAAATTGTATTTTCATATAAATTCAGTTTTTTATGCCATAATGGATACAACATCCTATATTATCCAAATATAGGTAAATAGTTAGAAATTCTGTTTCAAAGTTGTAAACAAAGCAAAAAAATACTGCAGTACGTTTTACAAGAAAATAAAAATGTCATGTTTAATTCAACGTTACTTGCCATTTCTTTGTAATTATTTGTGAAATTTACTATCAATTTCTGAGTGAAATTTTTCAAAATATTTTTTTCAGTGTAGCTAATGTTATCTAGTGTTCACTACAAAAACCTGTATTCATGAAATCAGTAACTATTTTGAAATGTGGATCTTTAATGAGTTTTTATGTATTTTGAATAAAATCATCTAAAAACTAGCGCTGTCAAACGATTAATCGCAATTAATCGCATCCAAAATAAAAGTTTTCGTTTACAAAATATGTGTGTATACTATGTATATTTATTATGTATATATAAATACAAACACATGCATGTATATATTTAAGAAAAAGATGTTGTTCATATATTAAATATATTTATATATATAAATACAAACACATGCATGTATATATTTAAGAAAAAGATGTTGTTTATATATTAAATATATTTATATATAAGATATAAGAATACGAATATATAAATGTATAAACATGTAAATATTTTCAAAATATATACTGTATGTGTGTGTATTTATATATATATACACATAATAAATATAGACAGTACATATACATATATAATGTAACCAAAAAACGTATTTTGGATGCGATTAATCGCGGTTAATCGTTTGACAGCACTACTAAAAATCTATTCATTTTTACTTTTTGAACCAAACTATTGAGCTCTATGGCACCCACTCATTCATGCATATTTGTGATTAGACTACACAATCAACCAATCAGCATCCTCGTCACTCACCCTGAGCTCCACCCACTTGTCCAGCATTCTTTTGTCATTGAATTCACAGAGCAGCCCAGAGGAAGTGATGCAGAAGGTGCTGTTCGCCTTCCGGCCCTTTCCACAGGCCACATCGCTAAAGAAGTTATTCCGCAGCTCTCCAAGAAGACCAGAGCGGCCCAATAATGGTACTGTAGCGTTCACCTGTGAGAGATGACATTTATGAGGCTTTCACCTAAGACCTGGATCATATTTAGCACTGTGTGAATGGACTGGGAGTTCATGTGACATGACATTTTCAGCTGTGGTCAGGCTTGACATCTGTGGTGATGGTAAGTGAGAGTTAGAGACTGAAAGCCAGCCAGAAAGATCAAAAAGAGCTGTATTTGGTAGAGATAAGGCTAGCTGTCATCCGCCACGTTAGCATCGTGTACCTTGGACGACTTGGTGTGGTCAAGATACCAGAACTTCACATGTCTATTCCCGGCTGTAACAAAGTACGAGCTGTCAGCTGAGAAAGACACAGCCGTCACTTTACTGGACACCTTGTTGGCGGCAATCACAACATTTTTCTGAAAGGACAAAAAGACAAATATTCAATCGATGAGAATTTTTATACTATGATTTATGGATCTGTTTTTTTATGTCATTAGGGAAAAATCATGGTAAACAGATTATGAGAGATGGAACTACATTACAGGAATAGTGAAAATCTGCTGAATATTTACTCTCCCTCAAGCCATCCAAGATTTAGGTAAACGTGTTTCTTCATCACAACAGATTTGGAAAAATTTTGGATTACATCACTTGCTCACCAGTGAATCCTCTGCAGTGAATGGGTGCCATCAGAAGGAGAGTCCAAACAGCTGATATAAACATCACAATAATCCACACCACTCCAGTCCATCAATTAACATCTTGTGAAGCAAAAAGCTACGCGTTTGTAAAAAACAAATCTAGGGCATTTTAATTTCTTTGCTTCTGGCCAAAGAGTCTATAATCTATAATAACGCTTCCTCCAGTAAAAAAAAGTTTATCTCCTGTTGTCATTTCACATCAAAATCCACTGATATATTTGTTTAGAACTGTTTTTACTTGTAAACAGTGCTTGATCTATTCATATTTCTCTCCTGATTCAGACGAGATGACTTTTTCACTTAAAAAAAATATTCTGAATAGAGGACAATTTCATGGATTTGTTTACAAATACAATTACAAATACACAGTTTTTCGCTTTACTAGAAGCTAATTGATGGGTCTGTGTGGATTATTCTGATGTTTTTATCAGCTGTTTGGACTCTCATTCTGACGGCACCCATTCACTGCAGAGGATCCATTAGTGAGCAAGTGATGTACTGTAATGCTAATTTCTCCAAAACTGTTCAGATGAAGAAACAAACTAATCTACATCTTGGATGGCCTGAGGGTGAGGACAGTTTTCATTTTCTGGCTGAACTATTTCTTTAAATTCCTTTTTATTCAGCTTTAAGCATATACTGTATGTAATGTATATTCTTTACACTACAAATGTAGTGTTGCCTTGTGTTAACACCATTCCTTTTATGCACTGCAAACACTGCTATTACCTGCAGGAAAAGCAAATCTAGTTATCCAAACAGCATATATAAAACAATAACCTAAATGAAAGCCATCTTTCATGACTGTGTGAATATTGCTAGTCACCTTCCAGGCCCAGACGTTGACGATCATGTCGTGCTGGTATCCCACACTGATGATGTATTTACTATTGGGGGAGAAAGCCACACACGCCACGCCATATTTATGTTCGTGTAACTCCGCCACCTGTGTCCTCTCTGCCACATCCCAGACACGCACCGCCGGCATATGACCACTCTAGAGAGAGAGAGAAAAAGAGATTATGAGGGCCGTCAACATGCTTTACTCCAGACAATCTCAACACAAGAGCTATATATACCACATTAAGAACCAAAAAAACTGTATATTTAGAAACATACAACCAACATATATAAATATATACATACTACCTTCCAAAAGTTTGGGGTCAGTAAGATTCTTTTTAAGAAATTAATACATTTATTCATCAAGGATGCATTCATCTGGTCACAGGTGACAATAAGGATGTTTATAATTGTATTAAAGTTTATACATACACTAAAAGTTAAAAGTTTGGGATCAGTAAGACTTGTAATGTTTTTTAAAGAAGTATCTTATGCTCATCAAGGCTGCATTTATTTGATCAAAAATACAGAAAAAAAAACAGTAATCTTGCAAAATGTTATTACAATATAAAATATTGTATTTTATATTTGAATATCCTTTAAAATATAATTTATTTCTGTGATGCAAAGCTGAATTTTAAAAGAACAGCATTTATTCAAAATAGAAATCTTTTCTAACTATATAAATCTTTGCTATCACTTCTTATCAATTTAACACATCCTTGCTGAATAAAAGTTTTGATTTCTTTCAAAAAAAGAAAGAATAAAAATTTACTGACCCCAAACTTTTGAACTGTAGTGTATATTGTTAGAAAACATTTCTATTTTAAATAAATGCTCTTCTTTTTAACTTTTTATTCATCAAAGAATCCTGAAAAAAGTATCACAGGTTCCAAAAAAATATTAAGCAGCACAACAGCTTCCAGCACTGATAATAAATCATAATATCTGAATCATTTCTGAAGGATCATGTGACACAGCTAAGTAACGGCTACTGACAATTCACAGGAAAAATTAAATGAATTTAAAAAAAATTTTTAATTTAAAGTTATTCAAAAAGAAAACAGTCATTTCAAACTGTAATAATATTTCACAAAATTATATTAATTTTTTACTGTATTTTTTGATTAAATGCAGCCTTGGTGAGCATAAAAGACTTCTTTCAAAGATGAAAATATAAAACTAATTAATTCATAAAAAATGTGTATATGTTATATATTATAGAAATGTCCTTTCCCTGGCCAGAAAAACACCATTTTGAATATCCCCTGATATTTTCATATTTTCTCTTGACTGTGGGAAACTTGGATTTATATTTTGATGTATTGCAAGCATGTATTAAAGAGCACCTTTCTATTTTGTGCAATGCTTAGCTTGTTTGTGCAACACATTAACAGATGTCGAGACAAGTCAGTTCAATCCCACGTTACACAACTCCAATCAAGACAGATCATGCACGATCATGCAAGATTCATTCTGATTAATCTTACACAACATCCTGCTTTAATACAGGACTGTGCTGCCAACATCTGATCAGCATTCAGCGCTGCAGGGGCTTCACAGTGAGAATGTGGGGGTCAGAGGTCAAACCACAGTGAGCAGACATATGCCGATTCCAGACTGTTTCTGTCTCTTCCTTCGGGCACATTTTCTTTCTCTTCCTCCCTACATGCTCTTTTCCTTGCCCTTTCTTGGCACTCTCGCTTTTACCTTTTTATGACAGCAGACACAGTCTGTGTGCAGGTTGGCACGGTGCCGCCTGTTGCCATGGCAGCCAGTAAGCACAAACTCACATCACTTTCACATGCTGGAGTAAGAAACTCCTCTCAAACGGAAAGGATTACTTTTTTGTCCAAACGCACACACACAAAATATACAACCGCATACACACACATACAAAACTGTACAACCACACACACACATACAAAAATGTACAACCGCACACACACAAATCACCTGTCCACAGGATTTAGTGGATTAGAGAAGTAGACAGGATCTGTGCTCATGTTCAGTCTTGCAAACAAAGTCCAAACAGCTCTGGTCACTATCCACACTACTGTTTCCATTCATTACTGTCATGCCAGCAGACCAGAAGTACGGACACTTCATTATCCTTAAAGGGATAGTCCATCAAAAAAGAAAAAAAGAAATAAATAAAAATACAATAAAAATACAATAAATAATAATTTTAATTTAACCACCTTCATGTCATTGCATGACTTGTTTTCTTCTGTGGAGCATAAAAAGATATTTTGAACAATGTCTTTTTTGTCCATACAATAGAAGTCAATGGTCACCAAAACTGTTTGGTTATCAACATTCCTCAAAATATCTTCTTTTAAGTTGCACAGAAGAAAGAATGTCATTCAGGTTTGGAACAACATGAAAGTGAGTAAATTATGACAGAATGTTCATTTTTGGGTGAACTGTCCCTTTAAGGAAAAAATCATAGTGGATAACAGGCAAGCATCCACATTCCTCATTCAAATAACACTATAATTTTATTATATTTAACAACAAAATAAATGTCTAGAGATTGCGCTCAAAAAGAGAATTTTAGCCAAAGAAATGCATCAAAACTGAGCAGAACCACAAAGGTTTATAATGACTACAGAAGTTTTCATGATTTGATTAAATAAATGTTTAAAGGCCTGGAAAATTACACTTGAAATTCCCTGATATTTAGATAATAGGATAATAGGGAAACTTTTAACACTCTAGCTAGAAATTTGCTAAATTTCTACCACCTTTTTTCTACTCAGATGACATTAAGTCTGTACATGAAGGGGGAAAAAAATAATAATAAAATAACTGGTATTATTAATCAAGTTGACCAAATGATTCAATCAAATCCTGATAGACAAAATCAGCTTCCATTCTACATTACTCCCTGCTAATATTTCAGATAATATAATAACAGATTACAGAATTAAAATGTGTTGCCAATTACATTTCGTCTTTACACCAAATAAGAAATTATTAATATTTTTAAATATTTTAATACTGTTATTTTTTTGTTGTTGTTTCAATCATGTAGTTTTATTTTGAAGGTTGCAATACTATGTTTTATTTCAAGCCGGACATAACTTGCATGCTTCTGCATGATTTCTATACTGCAGTCAAAGCAATAAATCCCTTCTAATCCAAACGTTAGTGCTGCAGAATTGCAGAAGGAAAGCAATAGTCACATTTGTCTGTACTTGACTCCACTGTGACAAGAGACAAATTACACTGGTAGTTAGTCACTGCCCACAGGGATTTCAGAATTCAGGCCTGAAGGTGCAAGATAGAGAAATTTATTTTCATACAGCTCGCCTACATCAGCTTTATCTAAGTATGAGATACTTCTCTAGAGCTCCTGACTTCCTATTAGATCATGTGATGTAACCACAAAGCACAGATATACTGAGGAATTGAGTACTCACCTCGCCTGTGACCACGTATTTGCCATCAGGAGAGAAGGAGACGGTAGTGATGGTTTTCCTGTGACAGAGTGGACGGAAGTATTTAGACAATGTTGAAGTGTATGCATCCTGCTAGTTAAGAGATGTCCTCTCCGTCTGGTCACCCATTGCTTACGATGATTATATGTTGAGCATCCCAACACTACAATATTTGTTCAACCAGTGGCATGAGTTTGGGACAGAATCATTTTCGGCTCCATAAAGAACCTTCCAATAAACAGTTCTTAAAGGAACCATTTTTAGTGACGAGAACGTTTTACATTTTAATTAAAAAAACTTTTTTCCACTATAAAAGAACCTTTTGTGAAATGGAAAGGTTCCACAGATGTTTAAGGTTCTTCATGGAATCATTGATGCCAATAAAGAATCTTTATTTTTAAGAATGTATAAAGAACCTTTTGTGGAATGGAAAGGTTTCATGGATGTTAGAGGTTCTTCATAGAACCATAGATGCCAATAAAGCACCTTTATTTTTAAGAGTGTAGTACACTTGTGCAGCTAATGAGCCATAAGAGGTGACTTTTATCCATGTTGCGCTTGATTACAAAAGTATGAAAGTCTTACCTGGAGCTATTGAGGATATGATGCTGTTTGTTTTTCTTGGGGTTCAGTAGCACCACCACACATCTATAAAACAATAAAAGAAAGGGGTCGTTAAAATGCTATTTAGCAGACACTTTCCAATCCAAAACAACATAATTATAATTTAACTATGGTGACAGTCCCTCCAAAGTCTTACTCAATGACAACCTTTAAGTTAGCAGTCCAGATCTTTGACCACACTAAGCCACAAGCCCACAATTTTGCTATCTAAATCATGGAGTGGCGTTTTCTACTTCCAAAATTAGACAAAAAAAAGAGAAAATGCACAAATCAGACTCATTTAAACATGATTATACCTGACTTTCCTGATTAACAATGTATCATATCCTGTGTCTGTTAATGTGTATTAGTCAGAGCAGTTACCATGATAGTACAATGGTATTCTTTAAAGTAGGGATACACTGAATATTCGGCAACCGAAATTATTCGGCCGAAAATAGCAAAAAAATCTCTTTTGGTGTTCGGCCGAATAAGCGAAAAGGCCAAATAATATGTACCGAACAATGACTAACGCGATCAAATAGAGGCACGCACTAATGCAGCAAACATGTCGGCAGTGTGAAAGTATTTAAAACTATCAGAGAAAGACGCAGAAATCATTACAAGCACGAAGCACCGACAGCGAGAGACTGTTTAGTGCTGCATCACATGTCTCCGATGAGAAGAA